AGTACACACTTTAGTGCAAGCTAGGTATAAATCAAGTGCCTGTGTATGCATGGACAACTTTCATTGATTTATTTGGTTTATCCTTGTACAACTAACCCACTGTCTTAATTACTATATTAATCTATAGTCATCAACAGCCAGGTTTTTCTTCTTCCTGAAGAGTATCTTGGCACATTTTGTCCTTGTGCAGCTTCATACAAACTTTACATTCAGCTTCAAGCACATTTACTTGTGCACACACACATACGCACAACCTGGAATTTTTAACTGGAAATTCACTGACTGAATCTATAGATCAATTTGAGGAGAATTTATATCTTTACAGTATTAAGTCTCTCAATCAATGAACATGCTATATCTTCCTTTGTTTTACTAAAAAATGGTTTTATAGTTTTTCATGTAGAGGTCTCTCATATCTTTAAATGAGTTTGTTCCTAGATATTTGATCATTTAATGCTATTGCAAATGATATCTGGTTTTTAATCCTATGTTGTAAGTGTTGCTATTACATACAAATATAATCTATTTTTGAACATTAATTCTGTAACATAGCAAGCTGATAAATAATTTATTAATTTTAGTAATTTATCCTTTGTTCTCTTGGATTTTCTACATACATATTCATACCATCACTAATCCATAACTTTTGTTTCATTCTTTCCAATTCTTAAATACTTTTTTCTAATTTTTTTTATTGGACTACAGAGTCCAGCACAACTCCAATTTAATGCTGAATAGAAATGTTAGCAATTTGTATCCTTTAAGACAGTCAAAAATTTTTATTTTATTAGTATGTATGATACTTGATATAGATTTTCTTTAAGTAATGTTCATAAAAATAATAAACACTTTTTAAAGTTTCTAGTTTGCTGGTTATTTCTAGGTTTTTTGTTTTGTTTTGTTTTATTTTTGTTTTTCTAAGACTGGATGTTGAACTTTATCTGTACCTTTTCTTCATCTGCCAAGAAGAGCATATAATTTTTCTCTTTTGGTCCTAATGTAGTGAATTACAATGATCGATTTTTGAATGCCAAACCAATCTTGCTTTTATATAATAAACCCGATCTGTTTGTTTGTTTATGCAATTCTCTGTTTGCTAATTTATTTATCTTTTGAATCTACAATCATGTGAAAGATTGGCCTATAATTTCATTTTCTTGGAATAACTTTGTCAGGTTTTGTTATCAAAGTTGTGCTTTCTTTATATAATGGATTGAATAGTGTCTTGCTTTTTTTCTAACTTCATGAAGAATCTGTGTACAACTGAAGTTAATTACTCTCTTGTATATTTGGTAGATTTTTTTAGTAAGACCACTGGCCTTGCATTTTGTGGTGGGTAAGTTTTAATTCCAGATTTGAAGTCTTTGATAGTTACAAAACCATTCATATTTTCTATTTCTTTGGGGAGGAACTTTTTTAGGAATTTGTCCATATCATCTTAATTTTCAAATTTACTGGCATAAACTTGTACATAAGTTATCCTTCTATTACCTGTAACATCTGTAACAATGTGCTTTTAAAATTCCTGTTACATTTTTGTGCCTTCACTTATTTTCCTTGTAAGTTTCAACAACTTATTTTGGACTTTGTAAAGGACCAACCTTCTGTCAGATCAACTTTCTTAATTGTATTTCTTATCTATTTTGTTAATTTTTGCTCTTAATTGTTTTCTTCCTTGTACTTGTTTAAATTTAACTTGCTGATTTTTTTTTGACTTCTTAAATTTGATAAGTAGCTCAGACTACTTTTCTTATACATTACAGGCTATCAATTTTCCTCAATACAATTCAGCTGCATCCCATCTACTATCAAAACTTGTGAAATTTTGATATAGAGTATTTTTATTATCATCCCATTCGAAGTACTTTTCATTTCTCTGGTGATTTTCTTTGACCCATGGCTTCATTTCTGATCATTTGGGGATTTTTCTTGTTATCTCGGTCCCACCTTCATTTGACAAGTCCTGGACCCGTTTTGTTACCACCTAACCATTGAATACTTTTAAAGTATTCCTCAGTTTGTTAGTTTCTTAGCTTTCTGTTTATAAATTGGCATATGCCCCTCAGGGAAAAGCATTTCCAAATATGAAGCTATCTCTCTGGGTTATTTTCTTCTCCAGGACTCTGGGCCTGTAAATTTTTACTGCCTCTTTAGCTCTGCAAATGCATTATATGTTCAAATTTTCTAGCCGTTGTCAGTGGGAGGATTGTTCTGAATGACTTCATCCACCAACCATTACCAAAATTGGAAGTCAAGATTCCCATTACTTTTAATATTTTATTCCTAAGTGTAATGATCAAATAACATTTTATTTGCATTCTACAAGATTATTTGAGCTCCTTGAATTGCAATTTTTATAACAAAGGTGAAAAAACTCAAGTATGCTTTTATGTGGGTGATAACAACTCTAATCAAGGCTAAAACTTTAATAGAAATGAAACCCCTATTAGCACTTTCATTCATAAATTTATTGTTCTACTTTTGTTATACATATTAACATCTTTTAGTCTTTGGCTATCATCTGGTTCACATTTTATTATTATTTTTTTCAATTAGCTATTTTGACCAGAAAATCCTCATATGGATGTAAAAATAAATATTTTATTTTGCTTTTACCTTTCAAAAGCTAGGTAAATATTTATTTTGCTTTGAAGAAGAAAGTATATAAAATGCATTGTAACTTATTTTGAAAAATGTGTTCCAGATATCAGAGTTTAGCGTGTTCTGAATACAACACATCAGGGGAATAGCTTAGAATATAACCAAAGGGTGTACTTATACTACATATAAAATTTAGACATATTACACAATGAGAACTAGTGGTTGTAATAAAAATATGCCTGATATTATAGCAAATCGAAAATCAAATCCTGTTGTCGTTGACATATTGATAGAACTATATGAATGTAGTATTATATCTCTTTGATTTATTTCCACTGTGAGTATAAAACTAACTCCTTTTAGAAGGCCTGTTAATAGTTCATATATAGCATGTATTAGTCTAATAATATTGCCATAAAAAATAACACAGACTCAGTGGCTTAACAATGGAAATTTACTTCCTCAAAGGTCTGGAGGCTGGAAGTCCAAGAGCAAAGCGTCAGCCAGTTTGGTGCCTCCTGAGGCCTCTCTCCTTGACTTGCAGATGCTCACCTTCTTCTGTGTCCTCACATTGCCTTTCTTCTGTGCATGTGCCTCCCTGGTGTCTCTTCCTCTTCTGATAAGGACATCAGTCATGTCAGATTAGAACTCTATGCTTACAATCTCACTTTACCTTAATTACTTATTTAAAGGGCCTGTCTCCAAATAACAATCATATTGTGGGTTAGAATTTCAGGACATGAATTTGGGAGAGAAACAAGTTAGTCCATAACACAGCACATATTCATTCAAAAAACATTACCCACTTAACATGGGCCAGGGACTATTCCTATATCAAAAATTATACAGGGCAGAAATAAACAAAAATGTTTAAAGCCTAATACATTGTTATTTTTAAAAAGATAAAGAAATTGGCAGTGTAGGGTTGTGGGGAATTATTTTAGATAGAGTGGTGATAAAATATTTTTATAAAAAGATATCCTCTGAGCAGAAACCTGAAAAAAAATTGAATGAAGACAGAATTTATGAATTACAGAGGAGAGAATTTTAGGCATAAATCATTTGCAAATGCAAGGGCCCTGGGACATATATCGGCATGGCTCTATAGAGGAACTTTCAAGAAAGCCATTGAGAGAATGGTAAGAAAGAAAGTCAGACAACTGACCTAAGATGAGTATACATAGAGCCTTGTAAGCCTTGGTAGAGATTTTTTATTTTATTTTGTTAAAGAGTCCTGGGAAGCCACTGGGAGCTTTGATCAAGCGAATCCCATTGATCTGATCTTCATTTATAAGAGCACCGTGGTAATAGACTTAGGAGTGGTACTCTCTAGAATATAAACAAATAGGGAAACCACATGAGCCGTTCAGTAGTAGAGTCAAAGATGTCATCTTTGAATTGGGTGTCAACAGTAGACAGGATGAGATGAGGTAGGATTTGGGATGTAATTTGAATGTAAAGGTGACAGGACTTGCTATTGAAGATGATGTTTGAAAATTCCTATTTTGGGTCTGAGAAATAAAGTAAATAGTGGTGCTATTCCCTGACATGGTATGGATTGGCTTGAAGGAGAGTTAATTTAGGAGTAAAATAAAACGAGTTCTGTTTTAGAAGTCATAAGTTAGAGATGCATATTGGATTCCAAGTGAGAATCATGTAGGCCTTTATCTATAGCTCTCTAGAGAGAGTCAGGGTAGGGGGCTAGAAATAAAAATTCTAGTGTTATTGAAGTATACTGTAGATCATAGTCAAAGTCAGGGGACTCATTGATATTATCCAGAGTGAGACCATGGACAAAGAACAGAAGCAGTCTAAGGACTGGGCCCAAGAACACTCCAACATTTAAAAGATGGAGAAGAGGATTCTGCAACAAGACTGTAAGAGTAGGAAGTCAATTGAAAGTAGAACAAAGCAAGTATGTGATGCTGAAGCCAACACTAATATGTGTGATCCCGTGATCATTAACAAGCTATGTTTCAAGAGAATATAACAAAAAAAATTTCAATATTATTTATTTAGCTGGAAATCTGAAAATTTCCATTAAATATAAGCATAGCAGTATTAGTATCACCTAACTAATGAATAATCAAGCCCTTGGAAAGAAAGCATATACTGTGATTGTAATAAAAGGGTAATTAATTATAGGGTTGAACAGGAAGGGGGAAGAACTATCATTTAAACATGGTATACTAAATATTTGTCATGCTTCTTTTGGCTGGGTCTTTCATAATCTCATAAAGGAGAATTAAATATGGAGTGATGAAATAGAGATCTACGCTGATGTTAAGCAGAAAAATTTCTCACTACTTGAAAGTTAATTTGGTGTTGAATATAGATGACTTCAGATCTTCAATAAATGCTAGTTGATGTTCTTTTTATCTCTTTGCTTCTTTCTACAGGTGGAGAGGTCCCGTACACAACTCTGGCTACTCGAATGATGATGGGGGCTTGGTGGCTATTTGCTTTGATTGTTATTTCATCTTATACAGCAAACCTCGCTGCTTTCCTCACTATCACACGCATTGAAAGTTCCATCCAGTAAGTAGACAATGTTTCCATTAGCCACAAAGCATGAGAAATGATGAGTGGCCAAAGCTATCTGAGAATAAGTATATGGTGTCTTATAATAAATATACAACTTCCCTTTGAGTAAAGGATCAATTTTGTTTTACTGCAGAGTATCACTGGTTAGTCCAAGTCCTGAAAATGCAGTATTGGTAGAGCATTTTTTATAAAATAAAATTTTGGCTACTATTTGAATGTTGTTTCTCACATTTTCCTGGAAGGATAACACATCTTCAGAATTTTAATGTCCACGAAGAATGACTATGTCTGGTAAACATTGTGAAAAGGAAGAAAAAAATAGTCAAAAGAAAATCTTTGCCTTGAGTCTGTCCCATTATGTACTATCAGAATAAATAGTTGAATAGGTGCAGATGTTTGAGAGATAGATGGATGATTGGGGATTGGGGAGAAAAGAAAAGGCAGGGGAATAGCAATCAACAGAAAATTATAGTATTTCAGTAACCGCATTCTGTTTTCTCTTCATTACATTATACTTCATGTGATTCTTATTGCTTCTGTTTACTAGCCACAGTTGGAATGGTGGGATGCACTTACTTAATCCTAAAAGTTACCTAAACTGGTGTCTCCCAATTCACATATGCCATTTCCATGAGCCTGTAGAGCCCAAGGGTCTTTTATCCACCACAGCCAGTTTTGCTTTTGTGGTTTCATGCTACAAGATCAGCACCACAGGATAATATCTGCCTTATTAGAACATAATGTTCTATATATGGTTTTAAGAAAAATTTTCCTGAAAATGTTTATTCATCCCAAGATAAGTTTGAATTTTCCTAAAGTTGAACACTCATTTTCCAAAAAGCTGGCAATTCAAATTCAGAATAATTAGATACGTCAGGGAATTCCTTAGGAATGTAACTTGTTTGGAAAAGAAAATGTGAGTAGTTATTTTCTTTTAAAAAGAATGTAAATTAAATTCATTAGTAGCCATAAAACTATTATAACATAATACCAAAAAAATTAAGAATTATCTATAAATAAATAGGGTATTTTTTTCAATTTGCTCATTATACAAATTGAAACAATTGGTAATGCTAATAATAGTCAATTATTTTATCCATTCATAAAAATGATGTTTCTAGTTTCTCTCATCAAATTCTGCTGCTCAAGTTGTTTTCTGATTATTCCTTTGATACAGAACCTTCATATCCCCCCAATTTATTGTCCATGTAACCAGATCTATGTGTGACATAAATTACAAATCATACACAGTGAAACTTATACCATTGATGGAAAGCTTATACTGGTGACCCTATAAGCATCATACTTTAAGCAATATGAAAATGATTACAACAGCCCAGCCAAAAGATCAATGAAATGAGTAAAATTATGAAAATAATAATAAATATTTATTGATCACTTATAAAATGCCAGATCTTTTGATGAGTGTTTTATATGCATTAGCTCATTTGAAACTTACCATCATCTTCAAAAATACATACTATCAATAACTCACTTTATAAATGACAAAACTAAAGGTGAGAGGATAAGTAACTCACCCAAAGTCTGCAGCTAGTAAGTGACTAAGTAAAGACCAAACCTTAAATCTGGTTCCTGAGCCTACATTCTAACTGCATCATGTTAGTTCCCACACCACACTTCAACTTGAATTTCTGTATGGATCTTAGTTTTTAGAGAACACAAGAAGATACTTGTCATAGCATTTTCCATTGCTAAGGGATGTAAAGGATGAAATTCTCCAAATCCTTAACTGGTCTGAGGAACTAGAGTATCAAAAGTTAGATGACTTTTGTGTTGTAGGCGTGTAGGCATATATCCCAACGTGAGTTTATTATGTCTGTAACTGGTATCTACCATTCAGGGTAAGACTTTGGCAAATCCAATCAATAGAAGTCATTTTAAGAAAAATAGTTTAATTGTCAAATAAAAATTGGACATATTTACGGTATACAATGTGATGATTCAATATACGTATATATTGTGAAACAATTACCACAATCAAATGCACCATCCATGCTGTGCATTAGATTCTCACAACTTGTTCATCTTCTGAAAGTTTGTACCCTTTGACCAACATCTCCCCATTTCTCCTATACTCTAGCCCCTGGCAACCACCATCCTACTCCTCCTTCTAAAAGTTTGACTTTTCTAGATTCTGCATATAAGTGATATCATATAATATTTGTCTTTCTGTGTTTGACTTATTTCACCTAGTGTAACATACTCCAAGTTCATCCATGTTGTTGCAAATGGCAAATAGCAAAATAGTTCTTAATCATTAAAATTGAGTATTTTATTTCATTAACGTATTTCTTATCAATTATGTTGAATGTGTCACATTTTGGGTATCCTTAAAGCTCAAAATTTATGTAGTTCGCATCTAACTTTGAAGTGTTTTTAAATGAATAAATCATAAAAACTTTAAATAAAATAACTGATCCTATGCAGTGAACAACTATCATAATAGTAAACAAAAAATCATGGTTAACATTGACTGAGAATTTATAATGAACCAGAAGTTAAGCATATTACATGTGTTATCTCATTTATTCCACAGAATAAGCTTAATAATACAAGTACTTCTCTTATTGCCATTTTATGGATGAAGAAACAGAGTTTTGGGGGATAATGCTTAAGATTACACACTCAATAAGTGTCAGAGTTGAGAGTCCAACCCCCATCAATCAGATACCAGTCCATGGCCTTACCTGTCAAATTATTTTTTTATCTAGTGGTGGTTCCTAGAATTTGTTCACTTGATCTGATATTTCTCTGAGGTTGCAGACTTTGTGATGTCTGTAAATCTGAGTTATTTGGTTATTACTAACTTTGCTAGCACCAGTTTTTATCTAGACTTTTATGCAATAGTAGTGGGAGCAGAAGCCTGTCTCAAATTTTTACATCCATAGGTTTACCTAAAAGTAAAACCTGATGGAAAAAGATTGTAATTTCACATCATGTTTCCCTCAAGTGTAGTTCTACTGCCCAAAGTAACTGAGCATTCATTTTTTAAAAAATTATTCCTTTCCAATGCCAACTGGCATTATTAAAGTCATCAGTGGGTATAATAAATCTCTACTTTCTTATAATATTATCACTGGACTAATTTTGGAAGGAGAGAATCAGAGCCAAATAAGTTAAAAGAAGCCAGATTCCCTCCCGAAATTTAAAGATATCTTCTAATTTCATGCCTCAACAGTGTTGGTAAACATAATTACCTGCACTGTTTCTTGGAAACATTCAAAGTTTCATTTGTAACTAATGCCAAAGTTTTTTGGGAAAATTCTAATTTTTCTTAGAAAAGAGAAACTTTTTTTCAAAGTAGCATTCAATGTCATGCTTTTTAATCATTTATATCCATAAGATTTGCTCATCACTAAATGAGGCTACAGTGCATGTCAGTACACTTTTTCCATCCCAATTTTGCTGTGCCTTTGGCAAACACATGCCAACCATAGCTTCATTTCCGAAATTCAGCGTTGCTTCTGCAGACTACAATGGGAAGAGGTGGTTACAGGGTTACAGTTAAGGGGAGGGGGCAGGGATGGGGGAGAGAAATCAGCTTCTTTGAATTGATGGTTGACAGAAACTCTTCTAGGTTGGTAGGAGCAATCTAATAGATTTATTTAGCGGAAGCTGAATAATTTCATAAAATTTTACCTTGTTTTTAAAATTAGATATCTATGAGCATCTAATCTAACTGGAACTTGTTTTTTGGTTTGTTTGTTAGTTTGTTCGTTTGTTTGTTTTTTGAGGCGGAGTCTTGCTCTGTCACCCAGACTGGAGTGCAGTGGCACGATCTCTGCTCATGCAAGCTCTGCCTCCCGGGTTCACGCCATTCTCCTGCCTCAGCCTGCCGAGTAGCTGGAACTACAGGCGCCCGCCACCACGCCTGGCTAATTTTTTTGTTGTTGTTGTATTTTTTTAGTAGACACCAGGTTTCACCGTGTTAGCCAGATTGGTCTCAATCTCCTGACCTCGTGATCCACCCACCTCCGCCTCCCAAAGTGCTGGGATTACAGGCGTGACCCACCGCGCCCAGCCTGGCACTTGTTATTAATAAAAGTTTTGAAAGGGAAATTTCCTTGGAAAAGATAACCCATAAATTTAATTTCATATCCCTTCAGTGATATGGGCAGCACATCAAAACTGTGTCCTATGTTTAATATAATATAATGTGACAGAGTATGACACAATTCAGTTTTTAAAGGGAAAAAAATGCCATTTCCACAAGACTCTAATGACAATTTGGGCTTTTTCATTCCCACTGAGAGGTAACAACATATAGTTAATTGTTTTCAAACACCTAGAAATTGGAATGAATTTTTTTCTCTTGATAACTAGACTAATAGTGGTAATGGTAAAATGGAGCATGTGAAGCTTTGAAGGTACTTCAGAGTAAGCACTGGATAATAGCATCATCAACATTAGTTCTGTTTGCCTTTATTGTAATATTACTTTCAAGAGCTACCTAGTTCACATAAAAGTGAAAATAGCTATAGGAAAATCAGGGTTGCACAGTTATAGTTATTAATAACTTTAGAATCAAATTGGTCTTTGGTGATAACACTCGAGTTTTTTCATTCCCAGGAGCTGCAATTAAACTTGGATCTACTCAAAGGGATCCCAACATCCTACCATATTTTTGTGTTCAGTGCTTTCATTCTCCATAATGCTTAAGGTTGGACTAAACAAATACTGAGTTGATTCTGCCACTGAATCTAACCAATCTGGGGTAACATTGCTTTCCAAACTGATACAAAAAGAGATCCATAAATATTCTATTACTAAAGAAGAACCCCTTTTCCATAGCATATCAATAACAGGATTTTTGCCATCACCTTGGTCTACATTTTGAAAAGGAAATAATTATCAAGCAATTTTTTTCTAAGTGTTCACAGGTGAGTATGATCTAATTATGCTTAGAAATTCAAGCATCACCAAATCTGGTACTAAAGCCTGGGGACAGAGGGAATGGTAGCAAGTGACAGATG